GGCATATACAACCCAAAACAATGGTACTGATGGCGAGAAAACAGCTACTGCCTATACTACCAGAAAGCATTAGCCAGAAACCACCAAAAATCACCTGCAGCGCCTGCCACACAGCTAAGCTCAAACCCGCCCCACACCGCCTAGCGAATCATATAGCCAGGACAGGAGAACGTGTATCTTCCGATGTGCTCGGACCAGTCTCACCACCGTCACGCATCCACCACCACCGCTACGCAATCACCTTCATCGACACAGCAACGCGGTACCTCTTCCTTGCCCTGCTCACTTCGCGCAAAGAAGTCCTAACCCAGGTAATGCACCACATCGAACGCATCAAAAATATCACAGGCCGATACCCAAGCCTGTTCAGATGCGACAACGCCGCAGAATACATATCCAAACAAGCGCAAAACTATCATCTCCAACGAGGTATCGACCTCACCCCATCCACCGCCTACACACCCCAAGAGAATTCCATTGCAGAAAGGATTAATCAAACACTAATGCGCCACGCCCGTGCAGCACTTTAGCATAGCCGCCTAGACGACAGCTTCTGGGCAGACGCCCTACGCGACGCAGCCTTCAAATATAACCTGACCTACCACACCGGCGTCGGCAACCTTCCCCATACACTGTGGCACCGGCGCCCCCGGTCATTAGTCAAATACTAGCCTTCGGACAACTTGGCTCCATACCCTCACTCATCCCGATCAAAAAGAAGCTGCAAACTAGGGCTGAACCTGTTCGTTACATGCACGGAATCGACGAAAATCACATTCGCATATACAATCTCCGAAATCACAAATACCAAACCGCCCGCACTGTCAACTTCTCGCCGTATGCCCACAGATTGGATCCGTGCCGACACTCCACCATAGCCTTCCACACAGCAACGCCAACGGTTCACCAGCTCTCGGAACAAAAACGGTCAACCCGCAAAAAGCCCTCTTCCCAACGCAATGTACCTGAGACAATCACAAACAACACACTGCCACCCCGCTCTACCGCCCAAGCAAGGAAATACCCAGACGCCAACTTATGGCAAGTAGCCCACGACAGCGAACTAGAGCAGCTTGACGCGAAAAAAGCCATAAGATGGGCGCCACAATCAGAACTACCACCACGACACTTGATAATCCCCACTACCTGGACATACCGATACAAAACCTCGTCAAACGGAGCTACACGGAAAGCCCGTTGCTCAATCAGGGGGGACCGAATGCTGCCAAACGTACACTTCGATCCAAATAAAACAGCAAGCTTCATGGCAGACAAAGCCACGGTCCGCCTGATCATAGTCATCACCGCCGCCCACAGGCTGCATGTCGAGCACTTCGATATCAAATGCGCATACCTTCACGAATCATATAATCACGACAAGCCAGTTTACGTCTGGCAACCACGCAAATTTGACGGCTCTCTCAGCCACCCGCACCCAGTTGGGCAACTGCAAGGCAATATATATGGCACGCCCCCTGCAGGTTACATATTCTCTACAGCCTTACACCGGTATCTCAAGGATAATGGTTATCGCCAACTCCAGTCAGATGTCTCCCTGTTCATCCGTACCAAAGGCGCAGACTACACCTTAGTAGTAGTGTCCATGGACGACTTTTTAGTGGCAGCAACAAGGCATAACCTCATTGACGACTTCCACAACACCCTCTCCAAGAAATAAAACGTCAAGCGACTCGGACGGCCAAAATCCTACTTGAACTGGAATTTCTCCTTTACAGATAAGGGAATACATGTCTCACAACCTGCCTACATCACCAAGATCGCTGAACGTTTGAAAATGAGTAACGCAAACACCAAGAAATACCCGTACATATCAGGAACTAATCTTGATCCGCCTGCAGACGACGAACCAGAAATCACAAGCTCGAAACTGTATAGGGAAGTGGTTGGAGATCTCCGATATATGGCAGACTGCACGAGATTTGACATAGCATACATTACCGCTGCCCTAGCCAGGGCCCTTTCCAAGCCAACAGAGAGACACTGGCAACATCTAAAGCGGACCATTCGGTACCTGCTTCACACACCCACACACGGAATATTATACCAGTTCGACAAACAAATACATCTCACCAGCTTCGCTGACGCAGACTACGCGCGCTGCGGCGTCACTCGCAAATCAGTCTCCGGGCATGTCCATCTTGTTGGAGGATCACCAGTGCACTGGCGCTCAAAACGGCAAGACACAGTCGCCTTATCAACTTGCAAAGCTGAGTACGTGTCCGCAGCCCAGGCATGCCAGGACACAATCTGGCTGAAAGACATGCTGCAGGAGCTACCCATAAACTACCAGGGGCCGCCGGTCGTGAATGTCGACAACAATTCTGCGGTCCAAGTCGCCACCAATGTGGCTCCAACACGCAAACGGAAGCACATCAATATTCGCTTCCATTACCTTCAGGATCACGTTACAGAAGCCACTATAACCCTCAAGCACGTCCCCAACACAGAGATGCTAGCCGACCCACTCACTAAACCACTAAGTGAGGCATTGTTCACCTCGCTGCACACGAAAATGCGCCTCTGTCCTATCGCACCCACTCCGCGCGTTGGGGGGACTGACACGCCGCAAGCAGCTCCTACACAACGCACGAGTGGTCGCGGAGTAGTACAGCATCCGACACGCCGCTGACACGCCGCATTACAGTAGCGACGGCGCCTCCAGCCAAGAGAGACATAGATAGAGAGTAAACACCTTGAAGACCACCGGGAGAGGAGGGTGGTCACAAGAGTCTTTCTCAGATTCTACCACTTTTAGCGGTGCGCTGGGTTATTAAAATGAACAGAGTGACTTACTTGTGTTGAATGGTTTTGCAAAGCGGTTCTTAAGTTGGATACACTTGGGGTTGCAGGTTGGGTGGCTCTCAGGGTTAGTGGGTGGTTGTGCTTGGCCCCTTATGCTTTCCCCGTCCGAACGCCGCGCCTTTTATAGAAATCGTAGCTGAAACTTAGAACAATACAGTACCTGCTAGACTATAATAAACTATCCTTTCACTCTACAACTAATCTTCATACAATCGCTTATCTCCTTGCCTTCAATCTCCCCGACCATCCTCTTTAGTACTAGTGGATACTGTACTCCTTCTTTGAAAATTCTTTTAGGTATGGCATAGAAATTATGTTGTAGTTCTATGCCATCCTTTTAAAGAATGGAGGAGCCAGTCCATTCCGGAAAGACACGCGCAGTATGTTTATAAAAAGTAAAACTACAAAGACATACATACTGTGCTTGTCCTTCAACCATTACACTGTCGCCCGACCGAGGACTGAATTTTTTGTAACCCCTTCAAAACAGCCCATATGACGCTCTGAAGGTATTTTACAAACCTTGCAGTTATGAGATCTGAAACGGTCCTATTTTTTAGTAATCTTTGAGTGACTCCGAAGATGGTTCCCTACTTGCTGTTTCATTTATCGGGTAGTTGCAGTTATCGGGGGTTGCAGTTATCGCGTGGGCACTGTATTGGAAACCCAAAGAGTGCAGTTCTTCGCAGCGCCCTTAACTGATTGCATGTAGATACAGTACAAAGGCACCGTTGAAATCTTCGTCAAGCATGGCAGCCATCACTTTTCGATAAATGTGCTTAGGGGATTTAGGGGTTTAGGGATTAGGGGATTAGGGGATTAGGGGATTTAGGGGATTTAGGGGATAACTACTTTTTAGGGTGACCGAAGCGTACTGTCGTGTACTTGACCAGCCAAGGGATCACCTAGTTACTTTCTGCGCTTATCAGGCAATATAACGAAGCAATTTCTAATTCCGATCATCGTGAGACTATCGTCTGTGTATTTAAAGATAAAGCCAACATGACTTCAATAGACTAAATTATTTGCTGAAACCAGAAAGCAGTGTGAGTTGGAATGCAGAATGCATTCCAGCTAGGCGAGAGGAATATTGGCTGCCTACGCCATGCAGTTCAGCTTAAAGCATTTTTCTTTAAGCTAAATTTATACCAGTAGCATAGAAACATGGGCTTGTGTGCTTCTTATTCGGTTTTAACTTCTGAAAATATGATTAAACCCAGTCAATCTACCAAAGAAAAATAGAAGCCGTCGCCATCAAAGTTGAAAAGAAATTACATTCGCACATTTGTATGTTACAATAACGCTTGGTCGGATAGACACGAAAAGGTTTGAAAGTAGTGCAAATGGAGGGCATTTATCCCAGCCCCCTTGAAGTTGGCTTGTTGGCACGAAATAGGAAACTTGCATCGTTGGACGCCAAAACTTTTTATCTAAATACCTTGAAACTATTTCAAAATGTTTCTCTCAAAACCAATCCCGCAAATTTCCTTTTACAGTACCTGTATCCCTTTTGATAGGGCCCACTTGGCAGACCCCGAGGCTCTTACGCCAAACAGGCAGATCCCCCCTCCCCACCTCGTTTCTCTCCCCATACCGGCGCACCAAAGCACCCCCAACCCTCCCATCGCGACCTCGCTCCCAATCGCGTGCCTGGCACCGCGCCTGCTTCCCCATGTTTCGATCTGCCGCGACGCGATCCGGCCTCGCCGGCGTGCGTCTACTCTCCACCGCGTCCCCCACGCCGATGGGAGCCGCCGCCCCGCCCGGCTCTGCTCCACCCCCGCCCCCGCCCCCAACTCCAGGCATCCTACGACGCGCCACCCCACTCTTACTCACAGCCGGAACGGGCCTCGTCATTTACAAGATCGTATCGGATAATGGTGTGTTGCCTCTTGCATTTCTGCGTGCCCACCGTCCTTGCAATTCTATTCCTTGCACCGAGTGCATTGCTCGTGGCGAGACGATCTTCCGATTGCCGATTCTTGCGGCAAGCTTGCCCCCACTGAAAATCTGAAGATCCATTTACTAACCATTCCCCCCACTCTCCCTTCCATCCTTCAATCAATTTTGCGATGTAGAGTTCAGAGAGAGCGTGAAGAGAACCATTCCTGCCTCCAGCGACCTCCTTGCGCGCATTCCGTCCACGGATACCTCTGACAAGGGTTCTGTCACCACTGATGCTTCCGTCCCGATCGATGCAGGGCCGAAAACCAACTTACCCCCGGGTTACGATACCGTCCCGAAACTCCTCGAGAAGATGGAGCAGTCTAAAAGCTCCATATCTGCACGTAGTCATGAGAAGGGGGTCGCGTCTAGCGCCGCCACGGGGGAGCTGAAAAGAGCAGATCAAAGAGAGAAGATGCAAGGGGATGCGAAGCGGGATGTGCTCGCGAAGCCTACTACAAACCAAGAGGCGCCACCAAAGGTCTCACCAGTCCAGGACCTCGACACTGTGGGAGATGGCCCTATTCACAAGGCCTTGCCCAAGGCGAAGCCGGCGAGTAAGGGGTTGAAGACATCTGAGGACGCTGCCATCGGTGCAGCCAGCGATGCGAAGAGCGCCGGGGATGGGCCGGCACCTCTTGACATCATCATGAATTTCAGCGACGATGACAACGAAAGCGCTAGAGGAAGCCGCACGGGCCGAGGTGCTGGAAGAGGCGGAACGTCGGGGAAAGAAAAGCTTGCTCGTCTGTTAGGGAAAGGAGACTTTCAGGCGGATAAGGTGGAAGGTCCTGATGTTGTGGACGACTCGGTTTACAGAAAGCCAAACAATGCGAAACTTCTCGGTAGACAAGAAAGCAGAAAACCATGGAAATTTGAGGGTAAGCGAACACCGTCTCCCGGAACGCCCAGGATCGGAGCGAAACCGGCGGAGGAAGATCCTGTAGCAGTTGAAATGAACGCGCTGCGATTGGAATTGGAGAGCCAAATGAAATGGGAGGGCGTACGTCTTCAAGAGGCCGTTCGCGCCCAAATGGTTGCTGACAAAACGATTGCTGCGAGGGAAGCCGCGGAGTTTGCTAAGAAGCACTCGGAAGAACTCACTCGTGTCCGAGAAGATGCGATCACCAGCGCAGATAAAATGCTCAGGGAGAAATCGATTGAATTGCAGGCAAAGGCAGATGCGCAGCGAGATTCAGATGTTGCTCGCCTGATAAAGGTGAAGGAGGAAGAAATTCGAGAGACTTTGACATTGGAATATGCGGACAAGGAAAGAAAGAATGTAGTCGAGAGGAAGAAAGCCCTCGCCTCCGCCAAAGCTCAAGTAGCTGCACTGAATGACCAGTTTGATTCGGTGGTAGCGCAGACAGAGAGAGCGAAAGAAGCGGCAAAGCGGACTAGCATTGCCTTTTTATTGCGAGAATCGATTTTGGCAAGTCGGCCACTAGCGTCGCAGGTAACAGAGGCAGCTGGGCGGACAGAGTTGGGAAAACTAGTGGCAGAGAGCGTTCCCACAGCCGCCGTGATGGCCGGCGTATCGTCTATCGATGCGCTGAAGGAAGACTTCCGAGATGCGTCGAAGCGCGGTTTAAGTGTAGCTATGGTTCCGCCAGGAAAGACGGGGACATTGTGGGGACATTTCCTGGGAGCTCTTTTTTCAAGATTGAAGATTCCCATTGATCGTTGGGACAACACATCTAACGCGCCACTTTCTAGTAACGAGGAACGGATTAGGCGAGCCGAGCGACTCGTTTCTGATGGGGATCTGAGCAATGCCATTCTGATTTTGGATTCTTTGAATGGCTTGTCGGCAGACATCATGAAGGATTGGATTGGTGCAGCCAAGGCGCGAGTAGCAGCAGATCTAGCGGCAGAGGTTTTGCTGGCTGACGCAATCATCACACAAGTATCACTGACTCAGGGAAAGCAAGGCGTCAAGAAACCAATCTGTTGCTAGGACTTGGTGAGGTGCAAGCGTGTATTTGGAGAAGAGTCAGGCCCGTAATGATGCCCCGCTTGTAGCGTAAAAATTAGCCCTTGTATCGTAAGACAAATAAAGTTTGTTTTCGAGCGCTTCATGCCGATAGCTTCGCCCTCCTGTTTGCAATGCGTTGGCTCTCTCGATTGCCGTCGACCAAATGAGAGTGCACCAGACTGAAAGGCACAGGGTCGACGGCGAACCACGTAGTCGGGCAGAATAGAGATTGTTGGATGTTTCTTTTTCATATTTGCACATGTTAAGTGAAGTTAATATGTGTTGCCATGTTATGGGTACAATACGGGGATATAACAGGGGCTGTTACTACGGTTGAGGGCCTCTAGATGCGGACGATTTCCGTCTCAGAGATGGATCTCGTTGAGGTTAAGAGGGCAACAATAGCTGTGAAGGGGATGATCCGTCCTCTTTCTTGCCAGAAAAGAACAAGAGTCCAGCAATGATACTTTCCCTGCCAAAATCTCCCGTAAATCTGCTTTCGCGTTGCAAACATTAACTCTGTCCATGTCATCTTCTTCACCCCCTACCCTCTGGAGAGAAAGTATCGCCACCACATCGCCACCCCCACCTGGCTTCCCGCCGATGCCCATCCCCGCGATGGCCGCCCCCTCCCACAAAATCGAACCCGACGATGAAGATCTCTCCCTCCCTCCGCCGTCCGATGCCGCCTCGCCTTCACAACTTCCGCAACCCAACCATGACCCAACTTCCCCAACCGTCCCACACCAAACCGAAAATGACAGAACCCCCACCCCACCAGAGCCCCAGCCCACCTTCACCTCCTCCGAAGCCGCTGCCGACGGCTTCGAAGAGTTCATGCAACTCGGCGATGCCTCTCCCATTACTGAACCTCCCCCACTCGCCCCCACCTCTAACTCCACCCCCCCTGAGCGTTCTCGCCCCGAATCTCCCTCTCCACCCTCGCCTCCCCCAAACCCCGTCGCGTTCTTCACCGGCCTTTTCACCCGCGCCACCTCCACCATCGAGCATACCCTTCAGACTGCAGTCAGCGACTTCCCTGACCCCAGCGCGGTCATCTCAAACGCCCAGGAGAACCTCTCTGCCACGGGCGCCTCCGTCTCCAACTTTGTCGCCGAGAGCGTTGGCATCGGCCGCAACAACCCCACCTCCCCCGCGGACCTCGCTGCTACCCCCCTGCCCACGCAAACCTCCACTCTCAAGCAGCTCCACGCCCCAGGCTCGGCCTTGCTCCACGCCCTCACCCCCGCCGGTATCTTGGTCGTCACCGATACCGCCCTCTACCTCTTCAAATGGGATGCCGCACGCATCACGCTTGCCTATCTGCATATCACATGGTCCTCAGACGGCTCGCACGCTGTCTCGACCCCCCCTCCGCCTAGCGCCCGTCGCCAGGGTCGCCACAAGTCGGGCAAGCCTGTGCTTGCAACGGCCGCAGTCTATCTCCCGGCCACGGAGGAGGTCGTAACGGGTCATGAGGACGGCGCGCTCCGCATTTTCTCCGTCGCGCTCCGCACCTTCGGCATCGCCGTCCGCGCGGGTTCCGCGGACGATGCTGTCCCAGCTATTATGCGCATCGTCCCTGCAGCCCCGAGCAGGATCGTTGTTGGCCTGCGCGATGGCTCCGTGCGCATCGTCGACTCCGCAGAACTCAGGACCATTGCAGTGTTGCTTCCGCCAGAGATTTGTGCCACTCCACTTGGAGTTGGCTTGCGGTACTCGCCGGTGTCGTGTGTGACCGTCGCACCCAACGTCCATGCGGGGAGTGAGGAAGAGGAAGATGGTGGGATGGCGTTTTGTGTTGGGTACGAGGATGGGGCCGTCGCCCAGGGAGACGCGCTCGGTGAGGCTATTGGAATTCCGTTCATGGCGCATGGGCGCCGAGTTTCGAGCGTGTGCTCGCTCTATAGCGGTATCATTTTGCTCACGGTTGGGAATGAAGAAGATCCATCTCTTTCGGTTTTTCATGCGCAGACGGGCCGCTGTCTTGTGCGTCGCATGCTGCCATACATACCGGCAAGCCTTGCGACGGTGCCTCCGCCGTCTTCAAGGGAGCCTTCGCAGGAAGTGTGTCCATCTGATGACGCTTTTATAGTGGGGGGCGATGAAGGGCAGTTGGAGATTTTCCGCGTCGTCGTACTGTCGACGAAGAGATTAGAGATCAGGCTTGTGCGGCGTATTAGCGACAGAGTGCGTGGGAGGGATTGGTGTGTCGTAGAGATGACGTATATGCGTGTGGAGGGAGTTCTGATGGCGTTATCGAAGAACGGTGTGCTTCGGAGATGGCGGTTGAATGAACTTGACGCGAGCTCTTTGTCATTGATCCCATCGATAGATAGGCGCAAGTCGGTTTACCATGAAAATAACATTGTCGAAAGGCTTGCCCAAGACTTTGTGAATGAGGGAGACAATCTCAACTCTGTTGGCGAGGTTATCCAAGCACAAAATGTGTTGGCCTCCATACTCGAAGACGACTCCGTCTCAGAAGTTCAGAAAGATGTATTGGTCGTTGAGTTTCAGAGGAAGCAGGTGGAGATGCTGGCGAAGATATCACAAGCTGATACAGAGCTGAAGCGCGCAGGTCGAAGGGTATCTGCTAGATTTGCAGAAGGATTAAAAGCACGGCCAATAACTGCTTCTGCGATGGATCAACGGCTGATTCGGGCCGCAAAGAGAACAGCGGCTTTTGAAATGGAATTTGCCACAAGGCGGCATGCGGATGCTGTGAAAGATATTCAAGCTTCTACAATAGACAAGCTGAAGATCCTACTCCTCAACTCCCTGAAGCGTTCCCGTGGTGGTGAGTCAGAGCAATTGCAACAAATCCGTGGAGAGATAGAAAGACTGGGAAGTTAGCCTGGGGGAAAGAAGCATAAAGAGAACATCGCCGCTTTCATCAAGGAATGTACGGTCACATTTCGCCATTTTTTTGTTGATCTATTACCGATTGTTTCAATCCTCATCTCAGACAAGAAATTGAGACGCCGTGTAAAAGAGGTTTTATAGAGTTTCTTCCAATAAGCATAACCCGCGAGATGAAAATACCTCAATCTCAATTCGCTTAAGTGCATTTGCACAGACAGTCATTGAAGGGAACTATCATTCCGCTTGTTCCTCAGCACTCACGCCGTCGAAGGAACTTGATGCACATGAACTTAAGAAAGTCATCAAATCCTGTTTGCCTCGTTTTGTATAGAGTGCGCTACGCGAATGATGTGGACGCAAGTGAGTACTGTACCTGACATGAACAGATGAACTCTCAGAGCATGATTTGCACACGGTAGATACGAAACGGGGGATAATACCAGCCAAAGCCAAATATCTTCCTGGTAGCGGTGTGTTCCGTTGGGTCTCAACAATCGAACATTCGAAGATCTGTGATACAGTTTGGCATAACAAAACATGCAATTCGCAAAACGATATTGTAAGAAGAAGTTTTACATTACACACTAGAAAGAAATCATGCTACTAAACAATCTATCCTTTCGAAAGTATACCATGCACACCATGCATGTCATAAGCCCTGAAGGAAGAAAGGCTATCACAATTTTCTTCTTGAAGACAGGTGCTGCAGCACTAGTCGAAAGGCGCACTGTGCTTGTGTGGCACTACGGAATCCCAATTCAAAAAAAGCGTTTTCGTAATGAAGTCAAAACGTGAGTTTCCTCGGGAGGGTATCTTAGTTTCATTGTCACTATGCGGATATATGCGTTTTAAGTGGGTTCAGTGCCAATACAAAATTCATAGCATGTGAAATTTAACTTTCTCATAGAGAAATGGATATATCTGAACACACCCAAAACCCGATGGAAACCTCGAATGATGCTTGTTACTTCTTGGACTTGTTTATTGCTGACATGCAGAAAGTACAACCAAAGTCTGTAGATTTTCTTTTCTGCGTTGTTGTCTGTACTCAAGGCTACTGACTATACATACATACGATATCATCCTGATTCACATCAGTTGAACAGACACCACTATAGATGTCAGAGTCATTGGTGGCGCAACTCTTCAATTGCGAAGAGAACCCCTTCAGGAGTTTCAACTTTGGCTTTGGAGAGGACCCTGTTCCTACTCACTTCCGATGTACTTCTCAACGCGACCCTGCCTGTTACAATGCAGTAATCACGGAACTAGATTAGGGCAAGTTTGGAAAATGGTTGCCTTCGGTCTGAAATTATATATTTCAGATATCATCATCCGTTTTAACTCCTCTGCGGAAACTTCTCCATTCTCTCCTCGTGGTTCAAGACTTTTCATATCAATTTCCATACTTGCTGTTGCTTCGTATTCAAGGTCATGATATTGCGAGACATAAGGATGCTCAAGGGCCTGCTCGGCTGTTAACCTCTTTTCGGGGTTGAATCGCAGTAGTTTCCGTAGCAAATCGATACCTTCTGCATCTGCATCTGGGAAGAGGTCTTGAAAATCTGTACCTTCACAGTCGGGGAGTGAATCCAAGAATTTTTTGGCTCTGGCACTAGTCACATGATCCGCGTCCTCGCCCGATGGCTTCCCGAGGACTTCGCAAATGGTTTCAACCTGGTGCTTGAAGTCGCGACCTCTGAAGAGAACTTTTCCGCCCAACAATTCACCTAGAATACATCCAACTGCCCATAAATCTACAGCGCTGGTGTAGGAATGCGTCAATACAAGTTCTGGCGCTCTGTACCACCGTGTCACTACATATTCTGTCATACCCTTCTGCGTATTATCATCGGCATCCACATATCTTGCTAACCCGAAGTCACACAACGCTAGGTCACATGACTCTTGAATCAGGATATTGGCAGGTTTCAGGTCTCTGTGCAGCACGTTTGCACTGTGTAGTAATAAGATGGCATACAGAGACATCGGATTGGTCAGTCTAATAGTAAGACCTTCGAAATTTCTTGAATGTCAATACTATATTCTAAGACTTACCTGTGTAGATATTTCAAAGCAGAGAGCATTTGATAAACGAAGTACTGCTTGTGTGATGTAGTCAGGGTCACGTTGGCCGCCAATATCTTTCCCAAATCCTTGTCATATAAAGGACTGGCCATGTACACCTCAGTAAACTCTTCCATTGATTGCGGTTCTTCCATATCTGTTAGTGGCAGTATCTATTTCATAAAACGAAAGAAAACAATACGAAAGTTAGTAGCTCCGCTGTGAACAAAAAAGCTAGGACTATTTTAGGTATGCTTCCTTACGTTTTCATGCTCCAGAGCTCTCATTAGTCGTATTTCTCGCAAAACTCGCTTGGCGTCAATCGCATCATCAAATACTCCAGTTATCTTCTTCCAAGCCACCATGCTCCCGTCCTTCGTGTCAACTGCGGATACGACAACTCCATATGCGCCTACACCGATGGCTTTCACAATTTTGTACCGAGAATCCACAGTAAAATGATGCCCTCGGATGTTGTAGGAAGACTTGCCTGGTATTGAACAGGGTAAGGACGAAACCCCATGCGCGTTTTGCTGACCTTCATCACTTTGCACGTCAGTCGCCATTTTGCCACCGGACGTTTGCAACCAAATTGGCTACTGGCACCAGAATCTCAAGTAACATTCATTTCATCCATATCTTCTACGAAGTCAAGTTCATAGCATTTTTTTAGAACCCATCCTCTCCAAGTCCGCGAGAGGTCAGTCCCTGGTCATCATGTTCGAAATAATTTCACGGAATGTTCCGGAGAATTCCATGGCCTGGCCAGTTTGAGATGCTGTCGGGACATTTGATGGACATCAGCAATCGCATAACTACTCTTAGTCATATACGTGATGAGCATGGACGCAAAACATTCCCAAAGACACTCAAAGATCAAGTTTAAATTCAGACTTCGAAGTCCTCTTCACGGAAATCTTCGTCACGCCCGTTTTGCTACAATTCGCACTTTCGATTGAGGAGTGGTCATCTCGACTAAAGCAATCATGATTTGCGATTAATGGTGCCATATAAAAGAAATCATGCTACAGCCCACAGGTCGGAAAAGTTGTACACTATGAATCAAGTCGCAAGTCATTTCCGAGTCGCCATAAAGATTTTCAAACCCTGAGCATACACTTGGTATAGTAAGAGATCTACATATGGAACAGGTTTAAGGTCAACCTTTTACAAAGCTTTTGTGGTGACCTGCTTTAGTAGCCATCCTCTGCCTCTCATTATTGCCAGTTTTGCTTGAACAAATTACAGCTTCGATTACCACGGACTAAAGTTTTCTTCTGTGGTGCGCAATACTCTTGTTGCCAACTATTTTTAACCTCTTGATGAACTACTAGTGTACATACAGTATGTATTGTTTGGAAGATGAAGTTGAACAAAAAGAAAATATCGCTTTGAGAGTCGGTCTTTGTTCATTTAGAAGTGGCAGATATTTTTATCGCCTTTTTAAGGTCGCCTTTTGGGAAGCGATACCGCAGTGAGACTATTTTCGGAAAACACATCACCTTGAGGTAAGAGAACTGTTGAAACACTTGTCTCAACAGTTTTTGGCAATGTCATCATTCGTTGCATTCGTTGCTGATCCAACGCACAGGCTCTTCAACCGCTCTTACTGGAGACCTAATTATCTAAATGATTTGGACGAAATGCTTGCCTGGACCTCTTCATACGGCTTCATACTTTAGACTGAACATTCCACTTGTCACAGTCCCTCTAGAAAGCAAACACTTTTTCTTGCGAAGAGGCACCAGTCAGTCATCTAGACGTACTTTCTATGGACTTCTTTACGGTTTTTACCAACAACGAATTGATAACACAAGAGGTGATAACAGGTGTGTATATAATGCGGGGCTGATGAGTCAACAAAAGCTTTAGAGATCTCACAGCTTCATGAAAAGGGCGCAATGAACCGATTATGCTCATACTTGGCTTGATCTGGTTTGTCGACGTTCTTAAAAATATCTTCATACAGTATGCTCGATCAGGTGATATATGCTGGTGTTGGGAGAAGGAGCTGCTCTGTTCGGAGGCTGCTTCTGGGGCTTCTGTGGATCCATGGTTGTCGCATTAAAACACTTGCATATTTGGCGATACTGGTCTTCTTCTTTCAGTGCACGACGGAAATTGCATACCTATTTACAAAGGGAAGAACAGATGTTGCAAGTTCTTGTCTTAAGTCGATATTGCTCTCGTGGGATACTACCGTGTACCGTCTAGTGGGTTCTACAGGATGTTCAAGTAGCATAGGCAACCTTCTGGCTTGAGGGGTACAAATGGCTCAGGACGAGCCCCGCGTCTGAATAAGCAAGATATCGAGCGGAAGTGAAACGTGGGCGTCGTCGACGTTTCCGTTCGGAGTAGCCAGGGCGCGAGCTATAATCTCTCGAGGACAACCTTTGCTTTGCTTGCCAAGGTTGCGAATAAGGACACTCGTGATGAAAATTTGCATCGAAAATTGATTGGTGATATCGTTGCAGCAAGCTGGCACAAGGCAGCCATGGAAGGAGCGAGTCTCATGAGAGGAAAGGAAGAACATATGCAAATGTCGTTATCATGTTGTACAGAATAGTTTCCCATCGACCAACTACCCCTCGAATAGTATGTTGGGCTGGTGTGCAGGTGGGACAGTCCGCTCTTGGATGACCCTGCAAAAGCTTCGAATAATACCGGTCCATTTCATCTCGTCCACAATAATTGGGTGCAGGCAGGAGGTCGCAAGTTGGCAACCGCGGGGAGCCTAGCAAACCTTCTTTCATGCACTTTCATGCCATGTCCCACAAGGATTTGCCAACTGAGTTGATTCTGAAGTACCCACCGGGTCGGGGGCCATATATCGTATCATACCGAAACGTAGTACCGTGTGTAAATATCGAAAAGAGCGGAGTGTACGATACCGTAGCAGTGCTGATCACATGGTTCTCCGTCAACGGAGAGGAGCCGGCAAGATTCTGCATTCATCGAGGGCTCTGTACTGTACACCATGTATCCACACAAACATAGAGCGCACAATCTCTCCAAGGAGAGCTCAGTGGGGTTGCAACTCTGCTACTTTCTTCCGGCGAGATGGGCGCTGTATCCTGCGAACTGTTTGTCACTACCAGTACAATTGTCGGAGTACTCGTTAAGTGCAAACACTTCGCGGTGGGACCTGCATCAGTTGATGGCTGCCAACAGGCAACCCAATTTTCGTAATACGGAGACCATTGGGAGCCAAGGTATAAAGCACTAGCTCATTCGTCGCAAGCGATTGGAATCTGACCTTTGGACACATTCCACCTGTGTTCGCAACATCTCACAAATTCCAATGTACCTGACGCCTGTATGGGGTGGAACTAATCAAACTCGGCACCGTCGCGGCCGCATCCGTCGCGGTGAAGAAACACCGCATCGCGAGCCGGTGGGCTGGAGATCGCGCTCCCTAACTTGGCTGCCTACGGTGTACATGCTGCGAAAAGTTTGCTAAAAGCCACGCCATGGCCAACAATTCATGCAGTTGCGATAAAAAACTGGCATGCGAAAAACGCATTTTCATTCTGCTTCGTTTTTTCGCAGAAGGACTCCTCGAGAGAAAAGCCACCAGCGTTAGGAAATTCTAGATTTTTCATGCGGGCCATAGTAAACGCAGCGAGTGACTATCGCCAAGGCGACATCGATTGCACTGTTCGATAGATATGTATGGGATACCCATTATCATATTCAATCGCTCGTTCTCTTTTGCGACCCTTCTTGGGTATTATGCGCCCAAGTCCATGACTGCTTTAAGTTGACTCCATTATGGACACTGCTTAACCCCCCGAATCTTTAGTGAAAGCAAAGGGTCTATGGAGCGAAAAGAGTTCAAGAGTCGTCGAATAAGTTTAATGACCGCATGTATCCATCTCACAGGAGAGAAGTCTAAATGTACAGGCCACAGCAAAGAACAGGGCATGTTTTCTTCTTTAATACCACCTAAGATAACGTCGATGACCCTTGCCTCTTTTAATCATGAATAATAAGCACAACCGGAATTGAGTCGATCAAAATCGGCTTGTAGTCGCTCAGTCCCAAAATGGATGGAAGGATTGGCGAGATCTGATATGTCTCAGTCTGGGATCTCTCCGATGGGAACGAGAAGAACGACAAGGATGTTTCTTGTCTTCTGTTTTCGATTAGCAATGGACCCAAACACTTTTTGGCCACGTCGATGGGATTTCGATCTGCATTAACATGCTCCGCTCCGAAGTGTTCCGAGCATGCTCCTTCAAGCATTTATGAAAAGAACACTTCCGTATCCTACTTTTCCTAGGCGCACGGAGCCTTGGTTGTCTGCGGCTTCGTACAATAGTGCACTGTACACAACGCCAGCACGTCCTGATTCTGAATTATCTCGTACCCATCGAATAAATAATAACGGACCAGTGAAAACAGAAAAGCAAGTGGGTTGGTCTCGCGTCGAAACACAATTTTCACTTCTGTTCCGTGCCTGGGATCCTCTATCACGAATACTGCAACATAGCTTCTCGTACCGATTTGCCTTCTCAAAACAGAACACAGCTACTACGCATAGAGCCTTCCTCGCAACTAAGCGTCTTCTTCAACAAGGATCGGGGCCATGCGGCACCAGAAAATGCTTTGTTTATTTTGAGTAAGTCCTAAAGCTTCTTTTTTGTTCGAGACAACAACTGCCTATTGAAACGATTTTCATTCTCTATTCGACTTGCAGCTTTCTTCCAAGATAAGGGGACAACGGCTTACAATGGCTTGTCCCATCAAGAAGCAGGAGTGGAGTAAAACTGCTTTTGCATTACCTATTACAAGATGCGAAACCTTGCATTTTGTTAAGTGTAATTCGAATGCGGCCCGGCGTTTAAGACGGCGTTGCCCGAAACAGCTTCTCCGTGACGAAAGACAACATTTCGACATCCTTGCCATCATGAAAGCATGTCCATCTGTGTAATTCCTTGCTGCTCACATCTAGTCGCGTCGATGTATACGGTAGGAATTCCCCATTGATGGCTCAATTCTAAAACTGGGCTTCGGCCACGTTGGAGTCCGAGCAGCCTTTCGACAAACATGCGTGGATTCTCGGGACATGGGATGGTAGTTACGGACACGGATATAGCAAAAGGGACATGGAACGAATCGTCTGCGACGCTTACTTGGTTTGTAAGAGATGACGGTTGCTCTGTCGTGACTTGTGTGTATTTTGGGCTGATGTAGTTGTACGTATACAGAGCAAAGGGGCGTGGAGCAGTCCATCCACTAACTCAGAAATACATTTCAGCATCTATTCCCTAGCGCGACCTCTCAGGGCTACAAGCGGGGAAAACTCAAGAACCGTGGACCTCGAGAGTGCCGGTTTTTCTTTCCCTCCCCCCTTCCCCCTCAAGTAAATCGAAATATCCGGAACGAAGGAGTCCACAACTTTAAAACGCAGGAGGCGACACGAAATTGTAGAAAGGGCGATGTGGTGAGGGACAGATCGCATGAAAGCTTTCCGTGCTGAAATTATTAACTTGTTGTTCTTGGAGCCGGAAATCTTTTTGCTTCTGTTCTTCGACACACACATACCAATGAGATATTTTTTGACGATTTTTCGGAAGCAAAAAGTCTCAAGGCATAAGCGAATTGTCATCTCAATACTCTCACCACCGAAACCATCAGCCAGGAGCTAGAGAGTGCAAGGAGGCTTGCCGAATGTGAGAACTACGACACGCCTTTCAAGGAAACTTTCGCATGCCATCATATCAGCACTTGCAGTATGACATTAAGGGAGTGCCGAGAGTAAGGAGTGGGCGAGCTCCTCGGCGACCTGCATTCACTCGTGCCCGGTCAGGGTGAGGGACCGGTTGAGCTACGTATTTGGCCATCGATTTACAGCAATGGAATTGTGATGGACCTGATCGTAGATATGATTAACAGAAAAAAAAAGTATACCTGACAGAAAGCCAGCGCCAGAGAGAGAGGAAAAGAGAACCCGCCGTCAAGGAAACGACCGACGACTTTATAGTCTTGTAACAACTTTCCAGTCTCGAAAGAATAACTTTCTCTAGTTCCACGTAGCTATTTTTGAAAACTCATCATAAACCAGGCTGAAGACAGATCAGGCTGAAGAGACTTACAGCTGGCCTGTTCATTTACTGCCGTCTTTAAGCGGGCAAAAGCTCGCGCCACGGTTCTAGGCGCACAAACGGAAGAGAGTGGGATCGCGCACCTTCATCCCGATAGCAGCCTTCTCTCTAACATGTCCTCTCCTTGCGGCCTTGCTTGAGCTGAGCTCACAGACTACAGCGGCGCACTGTACTTTGTCTACTTCTCGTCCAAGTTTAAGCAAACTCTCAAAGGAGCTTACGCAATGAACCGTCTTGATGTGGGGGACTTACCCAGTACGTGATTCTATATCATACAACAATCCGCATGTCAGAGCTCCCAGAAATCATATTGATCACGTGTCCAAATCCATCTGGAAACCAAGTCCTTCTCCAGCCATAGCGCCGTACTTCGCTGAAAGGTGGAACAAGTGCACTCGCTCGACCCCTCAAAGACGGCCTACAGAGGATACCACTGCCCGCTTTCACCATATTCTTGCGCTTTTTGCGAGTGGAAGCATTCCTTCAAATGGAATGAGGTCCACTTTCCGGTGAGGAAGGCCGTGGGACTTATCGCGATTACCGGCACACTACTCTGTACGTCCCCGAACGTGGCAGCCGGCTGAGCACGAGTAAATCTTTGTAAGCGCATTGCAATATCGTTTCGGTTGCCTGTATGCGCGTTGCCGAGTCTATTCGGATGAGGGGCAGCTTTTTTTGACTCGCCGCCCTGGAGTTGCCAACTTCCCGCATTTCATCCCGGTATCCGAAAGCGTTTGCGTATGGGATCGATACCGTAAATTTCAAGCTGTCGGATTTCGAGTGAATAAACGGTTGCGAGCACCCGATGGCGACACTATAGTTTATCTGTTGACAAGCACTTGGTACTAGTTTTAGCAATAAGCGATCACTTCTTCAAACTGTCAATTCTTTCACCTCCAAAATGAATATGTACACCATCTACGCTACTGTTATGCGTGAGCTCCGCAACATGACTTCGGCGACTTTACTTATTGCTCGCCGTTGTAGAGCTAAACTACGTTTCTTCGGCGTCGCTATCGACATTTTCAAAGCCATCAAATATCAGGTCAATGCCTGCGCGTAACCTCTCAACACAAAAGTCTACTTCGGCAAGGTTGACGCCACATCGCGACGCTAATTCGTAGGCATCGTGAGCCTTATGGTCCTGTTCCACGACGCCCGCAGCTACGTTTTCACTGATGATATAACAAGCCACACCCACCGAAGTTGCCCTCATTCCAGCAAGAGCGTAATCTAACATTGCATTAAGCATTAGGCTATCCTGAATCTCGTATTGTCTTCCCGCGATCTCTTTCCGCGCCGAGTTGACATTCAATTCGTTGACGACCTCGTGAGGGGTGACAACGTTGACGTCCCAACTAAGGGCATTCAGCATAACATCCTCCATGTCATGAATATATGATAAAGGGACGTTGGCTCGAGAGGAAATTTCATTTTGCGGCTCATGGTCATCAACAGCTATCTTGCAAGCCAGCAACAGGCACGAGGCCGTCAAAACGAAAAGGATGGCCTTCTTTTCCACTGGATGCCTGGAGATGAATCGGTCGAAGATGTTGGTGGCGATGGCAACGACACCCTCTGGGAGGTCCAGATCGATGACGACATCGCTACACCATGCCACAACTTCCTCGCGCATTGCCGGGGTTACAGCAGAGTTCTGTAGATGCCTTTTGTGCTGAACCACGTATCGAGCATCTCTATCACATAGGCGGGTGAGCGGATGAACGAATACGGGCTTTGGCCGCGGCACAAGACGCACGGGGCACAGTAATTGATCTGAACAGATTCGTCTTCGCTTTGGCGATGGAGACGGTGATCGAGTTAGTGGGGATAGGGCGTGAGTGCAGGGAGATGGGGAATAGTTTTTCGGATGTGGGCGTGTGTCAGGGAAGTTGTGGGGATGATGGTCAAGTTGTTGTTGTGATTGGGAACTGAGGGAAGCAAGTGAGGAATTACGCTGAAACGGAGATGAGTTGATGGCATCGATTTGGCGACGAAGAGGCTGGGACGGTGCTGGCGAGCATTCCAAACCCAGGCTTTCCACGCATTGGAGCTCCATCCATTCGCCTTGAAGAAGAGCTTTTGAGCGGTCACGTGAAACCAAGGAAGGGGGAGGGGGAGGTAAGGAGGATGAGGAGGATGCGGAGGATGAGGAGGCTGGGAGATGAGGAGGCTGGGAGATGGTAGATGGTAGATGGGAGACGGCGGAGATGGGAAAGGGAGGGTAGGGAATTGAGTAAGGGCGATACCCGAAGTAGGAGGGTGTGGGAGGAAAGGATTTATAGCGGGGAGTTTGTCGGGCGGGGCATCTCTTGGAAGTTGCCGGGAGGTGGCTGGGGGGATGTGGCAGGGGAGGGGCGACCCCGAACAGGCTCTTTGTTTTTGAGGGTTCACGTGTGCTTCTTTCACGGGAGGGCGGTGGGTATGAGGGAGGGCGGTTGAGGGCGGTTGAGGGCGGTTGAGGGCGGGGTGAGGGCTCTGGCGAGTAGGAGTATGAGAGGGGTGTACGGCAGTGGTTGGTGCAATTCCACTATGAAAAAGCCTCAAAACGATACCCCTCTTACACCTCTCTCGCTGGACCCTCCTACTCACCCACACATTATTTATCAAAAACTTTTTCAATACACAGAGCAAAACGTCACCTGGCCCCACTCTTCCCATACCCCTCATACCCCTCATACAACCCAACATCCTGCTTCCCCATTATTCTTTCTACTATACAGCCCATATTTAGACCCCTTCCCCCCCGCCACACGCATTTGTTATCGCGTCACCA